TTTTTTATTTATGTTGTATTTTGAAATTTCAAAACGAGTATAAATTACTAAAACAGTTAAAATCTCAAATAAACTTTTGTGATCAATGTCTAATTTTTTTTATAATAAGTTACAATGATTATAAAATCGTAGGATAAACAATTTTATTTTAATAGGTGTTTATATTAATATATGTATACATATATATATATATATATATATATATCATATCGTATGAATAAATAATATTATATTAAATAATTTTAATTCAATTTTTAAATTAATTTTTTCTAAAATTATTTTCTATTAAAAATGTTTTTTAACATATAAATTTTTAATATTCTTATACAAATAAATAAATTATATTAAATTAATTTTGACACTTTATATATTCTATATGAAAATAATTTACCAACTACTTCTTAAGAAAGCATTATGGAACTTGATAATGCTCTACCAATTAAGACATGTGACACTCCGTTTATTTTCCATCACTCGAACACTGAAAAAGTGAAAATATATATGAATCGGACCAATTAAATTCTAAGTTTTGATCTACAGTTCTAATTAGAATTGCTTTTGATCCTACGTATAGATAATTTTATAAGAACTCTAAAATTCCAAAATTCCAATACATATAAAAATAATCATATGTAAATTTTTAATTTATCAATACTAAAATTTTATATTTTAATTACATACACTCACGCTGCGCAAGGCGCATGTCTTATCTTTATATATATATATATATATATATATATATATATGGCAATTAATGATTTTAAACAATAAATATTTGATAACTATCTATATACTTTTGTTTATTTGTTTATTATTAAAATAAATTACACAATTATATTAATCATATAATAAAAAACTAGATTTTTTTGTGTATGTTGTATTTCGAATTTTTCAAAACGAGAATAAATTACTAAAACTATTAAAAGTCTCACATAAGCTTTTATGATCAAGGTTTAAATTTTTTTATATATTAAACTACAATGATTATAAGACCATATGAAGAAATAATTATATTTTAATAGGTTATATGTTACTATATATACATATATATATATAAATATATATATTTCATATCTTTTAAATTAAACTATACATCATATGAAAATACATACTTATATTTTGATATTTGCATTAAACATATATTGAAAAGTTAATATTTTAATTTTGCAATCCGTTTTAATGCATAAAATTATTGAAATTACTAAACATCTCACATTTAAAAAAAAATTGTTGGTGTAAAATTTTGTTCAATAATCATAAAATCATATGAGAAGAAATCTCATTTAATAAATATCCATATTAAAAGTTTGATATATATCTATGTTAATATCATTTAAAGTTAATTGTATATCATATACGATAGATAAGATTGATTGTTTTGATTTATTTACCCTAATTCAAATAAACAAGAGTGATCTTTAGATTTATATTCACACGCCAATTTATCACATAATAATAAATGATATCTTAGTCATTTAATATATATACTTATTATTTTATTAGTTCATAATATGTAGAAAAACCTAAAATAAATAATAAATACAAAATACTTATTTTACAAAAAATGTAGATTTTAACCTAAGTATGTATCTCTTTAATTATTTTAAATCTTAAGAACTTTCTAAATCTCAGACCAAAACAAACAAACGAAATGAAAATAAATTTCAAAATCAATATTTATATCGAGTAATAACCAATATGAAAAAGACACAAAAAGAGAAACGTATTGAAGATAGATATGACTGACACGTGAACGTAAATTTTTCATAACCATGATTAATTTTTAAATTGTTAAATCATTATATAAAATCGAGCTGGCATAGTTTCATTTGCGGTAAATGATATTTTGGCCTAAAATATTTTTTTTTAAATGAGATCAACTCATCAGTAAACAAATTATGTAATTAACAAAAAATTAAAAAAAAATTGTTTAAAAACCAAAATATTAATACGATCAAGAATATATTTTTATTTTTCCATATAATATTTTTAATTAATTTTTATATAAATTTATCATGCGTAAGGCGCATATCCTATCTTAATGTTTCTTAAGAGAGGAAATCTCCAAGAGACTTTGCACTAGAGTCTTCAAAGTCCGAGGAACTATCTAAAAGAAGTGAGTCTTTTGTGTTTTGTTTTTAATTTTTAAGATTTAATCCAAAAAAAAGAATTTTAAAGAATTCCAAAACGGATAACATTATTGGACCTATTTTTATGAAAAGAGTCCTTAACTATTCAAAAAAAAAAAAATTAATGTTAAAGACTCCAATGGTGGGTAACATCATTGAAATTGCTCTTAGTTCATTGTGGAATATGCAAGAAATCGAGTTACTACCTTTCTTGAAAAAATTCCCAAACAAAAACAAGGGCATAAATAACAAAGAAACTCCATAAAGTCTGAAATTCTACAATACAGTTTAGTCAAAAAAGTCCTTATACCAGACTTCATAATGGCAGAATAATCAATAGTAGAAGAAAAAATGGATAGCGATGGCAATATTTCCGAAGACAGACGAGAAGATCAGAGATCTAGCACTCAGCCAGAACCGAAAAATCTACACTGAACCACATGTCAATTTCTTCTTTGATAACATGATCAATGAAATGCACACATGGCACACGAGTTTATTTAGTTAATTCTAGTTTTATTACTCTAATCAACCTGAGGACTATCAAAATTATTTGAACCAAGTTATTCCTGATTCTTAAAATGAATTCTAAGCTCTCTTAACCAAACTATCTGATATCCAAAATAATAAAACCGAATATCTTAATGAACATATCTAGTTTGTGCATTTGGGAGATAATGAGGATTCTTAGTGATAGGTGCCTATTTTTTAAATTTGTGCAAACTACATACCCTAAAGATTTTCTTTTGTTCAAATTTCCCTCCGTATCCGAAATCCAGAATAAAAATTATAAATGCAAACTAGACCATGACCCGCCCGAACGGGCGGGTGTTTTGTTTTCTTTTAATTTTTAGGTTTATACTAAATGATATAAAATAAAAAATGAAGTATCAATTAAATGGTTACAAATTACGTATGGATTTAATTTTGACAGAAGAATACCGAAAGTTTGCTGTTTGATCCGCGCAAGTATTTGTTTTTATATATTTTATAAGTGATAATATATATTTCTAAATTTACCCGTTTAAATAATTGTTTAAAATGACATTTTAAACACACAATTTTATAGTTTATATTGAGTAATTTTATTTTATCTTATAGACTATCATTGTGTCATACTTATTTTAAAAATATGACCTGTATATTTGCACAAATGTTTTTATTTTGTTTTTATGGATTAAAATTTTATGATAATATATAACTAAATTGTTTTATTTACTAATTAAAATATATGGTCCTATATATTTCTACTTTTTAACTTTTATTATTCTGAATTTACCTTGAACTATTATTTATATAAAAATATACATAACATGATATGTTTATATTAATATTTTTATTATATATTATATAAATGTTTCTTTTTGTGACTTTTATTTTAGTTATTACTTATAAATAATAAAAATATAATTATATATCTTTGAAAAAATATTGTTCATTAACTATTTAAAGATATGTAGATAATTAATAAGAAAAAAATCCTAAAAGGTAGGTTAATTAATATTGGAATTAATTATTATGTATATGGAATTAGTAAAACAATTTATATATAATTTATTTATTTAATTACGAAAGGTATATATGAAAATAATTATTTTCATTAATTATTGTTGCCATAATTTTTTTTAGTTAAAATTTGATTTTGGAAATGCATTAATTAAATTGAAAAGACAAAGAATTCTATAAGGTAGGGTAATTAATAACTTCACTAGCATAACATTGTAAATAATTAGAAAAACTCAGGGGTATTTTATATGGATACTTCTCTTTTAATAATATAGATTGATTCGTTTTCCTACATCATAAAAAAATGAGAGATTTAGGGAAATATCCATATTTGGACCTTATATTAGTGATTTATACATGAGTTGACATAATTGTAAAGTTTTATACAATTTCACCTTGGTTGGACACTGCTAACCTTATGACAATGTCTCTTTCTTTTGAAGCAACATTCTCTCTCTTTCAATTTCTCTCTTTATCTTTTATTATAATTTCTTTACTTTCACATTTTTTCTTCTAGATATTTTTTCTTACGTTAAAAATCAATTGACATACTAAACAAAGCACCCCATAATAAAATTAAATTTATTGACATCTCTTTAAAATCGCCGGAAATAATCACTATTATCGATAGTTAACATCTATAATATTTGTTAACAGGAGTGTTAGATGTTAACGAATATATGTACCCGGATTATTAGCTGTTAATAAATATTGTAGATGTTAACAAAGATATTAGATGTTAACAAATAGATGTACCAAAGATGGTAACGTAGATGTTAGCTGTTAATAAATAATGTAGCTGTTAACAGATATTTTAGCTGTTAACAAAAACATGTTCCCGATGTTAACAGAGGTGTTAGTTGTTAACAAATATACGTATCAGAGGTGTTAACAGACTGATAGATTTTTAACTTTCTTTTTTAAAAATCAAAGTAGATTAAAAAAAATAACAAATTTTCTTTCAACATTCAATTAAATTACAGGGAGAAAAGAAAGAAAAAGAGAAGGGAAGAGAACAAATATAATTGAAGAAAGAATGAGAGAAAGAGAGAGAGTGTTTCTAACGAAAAGGAAAAAAAAATCTGACAAACCCACATGCATGAAAGAGAGAGAAAGGGCAATTTGGTCATAAAAAAGAGATCAGTCCCATCAAGGGCATTTCTCTAATATCGACCCCAAAAAGGGTGTGGGAGCAAATAATCTCTAAAAAAATTATCAGAACCTTAAATAGCCAGTTTTATCAAGGCAACTTGTTTCTATATTGGTCCTTTGGTAATTAATATCTTTCACTTAAAATTTTCAAAAATCGTATATAGTCTCTTCTCTCCCTCCCTCTCCTCTCCTCTCCTCTCCAAGAGCTTTGAAATGTCAAAGTCATATTCCTCCAGAACTCTCGACGACCGGTGGGGCTCCGATTCGGCTTACGCAGGCGAATCCACCCAAAGCTTTCAATCCTTTCCGCCCATTTACTCACCACCATCCGCTGAGGAGCTCCTAGAACTCACCATTGATTCCCCAAGCGGCGAGATAGTGAACATCGACTCCGTCACCACCGATGATTCCACCACCGATCCAGAGATCACCTCTTGCTCGGCTTCGGCTTCCGGTTCAGGTTCAATGTCTCGCAATCCAGAGTTCTGGAGCGCCGCTTCTAGTCTTCGGATCCAGGACAAAGCAGCAACGCAGTTCCCAAGAGTTTTGAGAGATAAGCTTTGGAGAGTCTCACGTCGAGGTGGCGGTTATTCTTCTCGTTCTGCTCCGGAGACGGTGGTTCCGCACGAAGGAGGGGAAACTATCGATCCGGTTACTTTATGTCGTTCATTAACACATAGATTCAGTCGAAATGGTTCGTGCACGCAGAGAGCAATTCACGGTTTGAGATTCATCAGCAGCAAAGATAACGGTATTTCTGGGTGGGGAGAAGTTAGAGACAAGTTCGCTAACTTGTCCAAAGACGGTTATCTTTGTCGGAGCGATTTCGCTCATTGCATAGGTTTTCTGGTTTGAGTTTGGTTTCTTTGTTGTGTCTGTTTTTGATGATGGAGATTTTGGCTGACATTTGATTCTTCTCTGTTGAATAAGGGATGGAAAATGAAAATTCTAAAGAGTTGGCGGAGGAGTTGTTCGACGCATTATGCAGGAGAAGAAGAATAATGGTCGATAAGATCAATCTTCAAGAACTATACGAGTTTTGGTACCAAATTACAGACGAAAGCTTTGATTCTCGTTTGCAAATCTTCTTCAACATGTAATGTTTTTTTATCATCAATTATTATATAACATGAGTTCAGTTTCTTGATTTATTTGTCACATTCTTGACAGGGTCAACAAAAATGGAGATGGTAGAATCACAGAGAATGAAGTAAAAGAGGTGACTTATGTTTTTTTTTTTTTTTCGGTTTTAGAGAGGACTTGTGTTCTATATTCTAATCAACCTGGAGTCTTTGACTATCTGAACCATCCAAGCGTAAGCAAAAGCTTTAGGGTTTGAGAATTATAGCTAATGAATCTTACATGTGTGCCATTATGCCATTATCTCTCCTTCAGCTGAATATTCTATTACTATATAATCATGTTGCTAATCTTTTATAGCTAAGTATTATCTTCTTCTTTTTTTTTCTGGTTTATGCTATAGACCCTTCTAACCAATGCAAGTTTAGAAAATGGAAGTTGCAATTCTTTTTTTATATATACATAAGCTTGTTGACCTTGTAACAGCTTTCTTAATTAAAAGAAGGGTTCGTAACTACTAACCAAGAATTATTTTTCTTATAACCACTATGTTCACGTTGAATCTTTCTAAATAGAAGATTCTTATAGGTATTAATATATTTGTATGGTTTTCCTTGATTTTGACAACTTTATAGATAATTATATTAAGTGCATCGGCAAATACTCTATCAAGGTTGAGTGAACGAGCAGAAGAATATGCAGCACTGATCATGGAAGAACTGTCCCCTGATGGGCTCCACCCTCAGTACATAGAGGTGATTTCATCACTTTTAATCTCCCATATTATAAACGGTCATCTAACACAAAACATGCCTAAAGACCACGATGGTATTGATGTTAGTGTGCAGAGCAATCCCTGTCAATGAGAGAGAGAGTAGAAGGGTTCTTAGTTAGTTTGACCTTTGTAATTGATGACGCTGAGCTCTTACCTTTCTAGTTATCTGACAATGATATTTGACTGAGTCAAGAGACCAATGAACTTAAAGCTAAGTGCTATGCAAGTTTGTGTTTGTATGGAAATAATATAATCAAAAGTAGATGTAGTTCTCTGGTAGGTCCAAAGTTAGAGTTTATTGTCTGACTCTCAAAACAATCTATGCTGTTATAGTGGCGTTTAAGTGGCTTAAACATTGTTTGAAATCCTGCCTATTTGTTTGGAATTTTATAATATATTTTGTTTAGTTGTGCATTTGAAATGATGCAGTTAAAAGATCTAGAGATGCTACTACTACACAAGGACACACCTCATAGTTACAGCCAAACGTTCAGCCAAACGAGCCGGGCTTTAAGTCAACACCTAAAGGATATGAGATGGGGGATAATTAGGAGCTGGCTATACTCTTTCCAAGACAATTTGAAGAGGATTTGGGTTTTGACACTATGGTTAACGATCATGGTCATGTTGTTTATGTGGAAATGCGTTCAGTACAAACGCAAAGACGCATTCCATGTAATGGGTTATTGTCTTGTCGTGGCGAAAGGAGCAGCTGAAACATTAAAATTCAACATGGCTCTTATCCTTCTACCCGTTTGCAGAATTACCATCACCTATCTTAGATCTACCGCTTTGTCCCATTCAGTGCCTTTCGATGACAGTCTCAACTTTCACAAGGTATCATTACATTTTTTTTTCTTAAGAGACTATATGCGCTTTAACTGATTCCTACTTTTTTTTTTTATGCGCAGACGATCTCTATAGCAATCATCATTGGAATGCTTATCCATGCATCTAGTCACCTCGCCTGTGATTTCCCGAGGATTATAACAGCTACAGAGGCTGATTACAAAAGATACTTGGTTCACTACTTTGGAGTGATCAGACCAACATACTTTGACTTAGTTAAAGGTCCAGTGGGAATCACTGGATTTATAATGGTTATATTTATGTTAATTGCATTCACATTAGCTAGTCGAAGACTCAGACGGAACCTAACTAAGTTGCCAAAGCCATTTGATAAGCTAACTGGATTTAATGCTTTCTGGTACTCACATCACTTGCTTCTTGCTGTTTACGTCCTGTTGATTATTCACGGTGTTTCCCTCTATATTGAGCAGACATGGTACAACAAGACGGTACATTCCATAACTTCTTTTCTTTCCTTTTTGTTCATTTGACGTTTAGGAAGTGATGTAACAGATGCTTCCTCCTGCAGATATGGATGTATCTTGCTGGTCCGGTTTTACTCTATGGTGGTGAAAGAATACTTAGATTCTTTCGTTCCAGGCTTTACACTGTTGAAATCTGCAAGGTAAAAGTCTCATTCACAGTTACATATTGAACATAATTACATGAAAAGACAACTCAAATTATTTGGTTTCAGGTTGTAATTTACCCCGGAAACGTTATTGTGCTACACATGTCTAAGCCTGCATCATTTGAGTATATGAGTGGACAATATGTGTTTGTTCAGTGTCCTGAAGTATCAAAATTTGAGTGGTGAGTCTTTCTTTGTGAGGTCATACAAGCCTAAGAGTCTATATACAAACTATGTTCTTTGACACCGCAAAGATTAACTCAAACCTTCTTGGTCCAAATTAAAAAAAATCTTATCTCCAGGCATCCATTTTCTATTACTTCTTCACCTGGAGATGATTATCTCAGCATTCACATTCGTCAGCTCGGTGATTGGACAGAAAGGATTAAGAAGGCGTTCTCAGAGATATGTCAAGCCCCTGAAGCTGGCAAAAGCGGACTTCTCAGAGCAGACGGACCGAACAAAATAAGGTGCAATAAAAAGTTTTGAATTTCCACATATTGTTTTAACTTCATCGTCACGTAATGTCTGACATTCTCTTTTGTGAATTAGTTTGCCAGAGCTGTTGATAGATGGACCGTATGGCTCTCCAGCGCAAGACCACTGGAAGTATGACGTGTTATTACTCGTTGGCCTTGGAATCGGTGCAACACCTTTCGTTAGCATTTTGAGAGACTTGCTCAACAAGATTGTTAAGCAACATGAACAAGCTGTGAGTATAAATATTAAGAAAAACTTGTTTTGAGAATTAATAAAATATTAACTAAGTTAGTTCGATTTATGTTATGTTTTCAGGAAGGCCTCTCAGGTAGCTGTAGTAACGGCAGTGTCTCGTCGGATCAGAGTTTCAGCTGCTTAAACTCGGAAACTGGGAATAGGATTTCAACAAGTCAAAGGGGAGTGTTGAATACCAAGAAGGCTTACTTTTACTGGGTAACACGTGAACAAGGCTCGTTCGATTGGTTTAGACAAATCATGACCGAAATTGCCGAATCTGATATAAAGGTAAAATATATTATTCATTTGAGATCTCAACTGGGTGCTTATGTTTGAGTTTGGTTTTGCGTTTTACGTTTTAATTATATACTATATTTTTGCCCCAAAAAACCCAATAGCCTTAGCATCTTAAACGCAAAATTGCTTTTGTGTTTGTGTTTGTGTTTAATAAATCTATCGGTTAAATTTAATAGGATCAGTTAATGATACATTAGTATTGTCTTGATGCATGGCTACGTGATGAATAAATATGGTGTAGCTGTCAATTCTTTTTCAGGTGTAAATGTCAACGCCAAAGTCAAACATAATGAGAATTTTATGTTTGTATCTGGCGTTTGCATTTATAGTTTTCAAAAAAATATTATGGAAAGTAATAATATTGTTTTATATTTAAGTTGATTACTAACATGTTTGTCTTAACAAATACAAAAAAGGGTGTTATTGAGATGCACAACTACTTGACTAGTGTGTACGACGTTGGAGATGCTCGAACTAATCTTCTCACCATGATCCAAACGCTAAACCACGCCAAGAATGGCGTTGACATGTTTTCTGGAACCAAGGCAATTATCTCTATCAAGTACTTCTATCCTTATATTTACATAACCAGAACACTTTGATTTCTTATCGTAACTTTTGGTTATTTTTAGGTACTAACACATTTTGGGAGGCCGAAATGGAAGAAGGTTTTATCAAAGATTAGCACCAAACATAAGGATGCAAGAATCGGTAAAAATAAAAGCAGAGTTATAATCGATCATGGTCTGTATTTTCCTTGTCTGAAGAAAGTTTTTGATTTGGTAAAACAGGAGTGTTCTATTGTGGAGGACCGAGTTTAGGGAAGGAACTCTCCACATTGTGCCATGAATTTAATCAAACGGGATGTTCCAGGTTCGAATTCCACAAAGAACAGTTTTAAGGGTAGAATTGATATGGCTCCTCTACGAATGTGGTTTTTGAATGAATCCAATCAATAAATTGGTATGTACATGTAAAATTAATGGTGATGATTATTTCTTCGCTTCCTTCACACGACCTTCTTGTTTTTGTTTTTTTTTTGGGTACATTAAACTTTTAAGCCAATTCATCTGGAATAAGATTGTAAAGGAAGAAATAAATACCACACTAACAGCTTCCTAGGGGGGAAAGGTGAAAAAATTACATTAAAAATCTTACAGTAATCAGCTCAGAAACTCCTAGTAACTAAAAGTAAGGTCAGACAAATGTACATTTAAGAATCCAGGAAACATGCAATAAAATTGTGACACCCGTCACCTCATATCTGGAGTACAGCGTGTCATCCCCGACGCGTCATCAAATAACAATGTGACACCCGTCTCCCTCTCTCTAGGGACGACGGGCCACGAACAATATCTCATAACATAAAAGCCCCAAAGCCCAACTACATTTGTCCAAACCCAAATAAAAATCCGAATAGAAAAGCCCAATAGCACCAAGTCCGTCCAAATATCACCTTAAGGCTTGTCTCACCTGAAATGGGAAGAAAGAGGGGTGAGCAACAGGGGAGTCGCTCAGTGAGGTATGGGATGCTACCCCGAAGTCCGTAGACCCGGACATAGCACTCCAAATAAATATAATTTAAATCCAATATGTACAAGCATGACACCTAAAGCACCCAAGCAAACAAACAATGGTCCTAGCGGGGTGCACACCCGCTGCCCACTAACAGGCCAAACGCTGGGTTAAGTGCCCAGTCACACCGCCCGAAGACGATTTATCGACCATAACAGACTACGACCCGGCCGGTCGACTACAGCCGTCCGTAGCCCCCATACAATCTGGCATACAGAGGTCCCTTACTGTATCCAGCCAAAACAATTCCTAACTACATGATTTACATTAAGTGAAGCAATCAATGTTGAACCATCTGACACCCTAATCCGGGTTATGCAAAGAATTCTAAACCTAAACAGACAGACACCAATCAGTCCCTAAATTAGACTTAATTCACAAAGACGGAACACATTAGAAATAAATTATATTTATTTAAAGTTCTAAGTCGCGTACAATCGTTCGGAAGTAGACCCTCACCTTAGCAACTGGGGAAAAGTGGTATCTATGAACTCCAGCTGCTCAAATAGATCCCAAATCTGAAATCAGATCGAAATTCCGAGTCAGAATGACCTTCGAACGGTCGAAAACGGACGATTACGGAAAAGTCAACCCGCTGGTCAAAGGTCAACCCGGTCAACTCTGACCCAAGCCGGTCAACCCTTGACCAAATTGAAATCGAATTGGACCAATCGGTTTTCCTTAACCGGATTCGATTTCAATTGAACCGGATCCAAATCAATTACAAATCGGTTTACTCCTAACCAAAATTTAATTGATTTTAACCACCGGTTTACCTTAACCAAATCGCAATCGGATTGAACCGGGTCAAACCAGTCAACCAACCGGTTGACCGAGTCAACCGAGTTGACTCGCTGAGTTGACTCGGCCGAGTTGACCGAGTCACCGGCGAGTCACCGGCGACGGTCACCGGCGGCAACGGTGGTCCGGCGGCGGAGCGGCGGCGGCGGCACGGCGGTCAGGCGGCGGCGACACGGCGGTCCGGCGGCGGAAGTGCGGCGGTCCGGCGGCGGAGGTGCGGCGGCTCCGGCGAGGTGACGGCGGCGCGTGACGGCTGCTCCGGTGTCGGATCTCGGCGTTTTCGGGTCTACGGCTTCGTCTCGACGAGTAGAACACGATGGTGGCCTTGCATGCACGAGATTCTCAACGGTTTGAAAGATATGATCGATTTACTAAACGGCACAAAACCAACTTAAAACCATGGCGGTTTCCGGCGATCCCCGGTGGTTACGGACGGTGGTGATGAGCTTGATGTGTTCCTGGCGTGCAGTGGTGGTTCTGACGATCTCTGGTGGCTCAGCTACAAAGGTTCCCCATCACTCTCTCTCTCTCTTTGCTCTCTCTCTCTTTAACTTCTGATTTTATTTTTCTTGCAGGTGGAGAAAACAATGCTGAAGAAATACTTGGCTTTTATGCTCATGCTATTGGACCCTCAGAAATCTAATGGACTTGCGGGATAAATATGGGCTTAGCCGGTTAATTATTTCCGAAACCGTAATTTGGGTCGTTACAAAAATACTGAAACTACACTTCTTGTAGAAAACCACAAACATTCTATGTGAGTGAAAATTAATGTTGACTAAATTAATATTTAAATTAGCTCGTCAACATAATTTTATATTTTTTTATTGATGAAGTGTTAATATTTATTTTGGTATAATTCAATATTTTATTGATTGTTTTTTTTAAGAATAACATTACATTTAGTTTTTATTGTAATTGGTTCACATGTTGAATTCATTTTTTTGTGATATTAATTTTATATATACATCAGTTTCAAAATTTAACAAATACGAAAGTTGCTACTACATCAAAGATAAGTCCAAAAATTAAGGAAAGAAGATAATAATAGTAAGGTAATGATACGTTAAGCAGTTATAAACAAAAAGGCAAAGACAAATGTCTCTCCCATGTTGACAAAAAAAAGGGAAATTGGACTGTATGACCATGAGAAAAACATAATTCACATACTAACCATTTACCTTAACATATCTATAGACACCGTTATATATACATATTAATACTGTAATACCCTTTCCTTTAACCGGTGTAACCTGCTAAAAAAATAAAAAATATTAATTATAAGACGCACAAAAGTATATCATGGCTTATCCAATTTCACATCTTCCCCTTCTTTTTTCTCGAGTCAAAAGGTCTCCGACACCGATTTCTGGATCTCCAGAGCATCGCCTCCGCCTGATTTCAAAAGCTTTGCCATCTCCTTTGTACTCCCATTCCAATCGTTTATTTTTCTCCACTTGTGCCATCCTCCGACACCGTACGACGTTAAAGTTGCAGCGGCGTTAAGTAATAGAACTTTCCTCTCCAACTTCACCAAGTCGATTAATTCCAAATCTTTGGAACTACAGTAAGTTCTCAAGTGTTTATCTTTGAATCTCTTCATATTTTTTTCTTTTTCTTTCTATTTGGGCTATTGTCGAATTAAGATATTATAACCGGTAAATCTACAACCTCGATACAACTGCATGTTGGATCTGATTTTTGGATCAAAGTTTGCCAATTGATTTAGGGTTTTGGTTTCCCCGATTCTTAACAGCATCTGTAAGATAATTTATATGCGTGAGATCTCTTATGTCTATTTTATTTGAGATGGAATAGAAAAATTGTATGTTCAAACTATTCTATTTGTGATGGAATCGATTAAAAACTATTCTACTTAAGATGTAATTGAATGATCTATAACATATGTGCTATAATTCTTTATCAATAATTATATCGTTTCAAATATAAATGGTTATTTTTACATAAAATAGAATGAATTACTGTGTCCTAACCATGTTTCCCTCTTACTTTCTTTTTCAGATTTAGCATAACGATTTGCCTGCCAAGTTGATTGTTTAAGACATGTTTTGAATCCACCGGAAAGAAGGATTAGCAACTATTTCAACCTCCGTTGAGTTGAGGATATCAAGAATGCAGTAGAAGATTCAATCTTGTTCATTGTTATTTTATATTCTGTTAATATAAGTTTTGTATCGGTGTATATGTGTGTCTTATATGAGTGTGTATATGATTTTGTAAGAAGAAATAATATATTGTAAATGGAATGGAATTTATTTATTTTGGGTTAGGGTTTATCTTCGAACCATGCACCTCTCGGATAAGACTCTAAAGTTTGGGTTCATGGTTTATCTTTGGATTAGGGTTTAGTGATTTAAGTTTAGGGTTTAGTATTTAGAAGGTGAGGAGGTATTGTTGGGGCCAACATTAACTTCTTCCATGTAATCATACATATTTCATAATTTCACCAATATGTACTATGTTATTTATTTTGATCCATTCTATTTGGGTTTATGATTTATATTTAGGCTTAAGATTTATATTTGGGTAAGAGTTTAGTGATTAAATTTAATGATTAGTATTTAGAAGGTGAGAGGATATGGTTAAGGTCAACACTAACTTCTTACATGTAATCATAGACATTTTATAATTTCACTAATATGTACTATGTTATTTATTTTATTCTATTCTATCTGGGTTTTATTATTGAACGTAAATGGAATAGAATTTTTTTTGTTTTAGGTTAGGGTTTATCTTCGAACCATGCACCTGTCGGATAATATTCTAAAGTTTGGGTTCGGGGTTTATCTTTGGATTAGGGTTTAGTGGTTTAAGTTTAGGGTTTAGTATTAAGAAGGTGAGGAGGTATTGTTGGGGCCAACATTAACTTCTTCCATGTAATCATATACATTTCATAATTTCATCAATATGTACTATATTATTTATTTTGATCCATTCTATTTGGGTCTAGGATTTATATTTGGGTTTAAGATTTATATTTGGGTAATGGTTTATTGATTACAATTTACGATTAGTATTTAGAAGATAAGAAGATATGGTTAGGGTCAACATTAACTTCTTCCATGTAATCATAGACATTTCATAATTTTACCAATATGTACTATGTTATTTATTTGTTCTATTCTATCTGGATTTTGGGTTTATGGTTTATATTTGTATTTAAAATTTACTGATTAGAGTTTAGGGTTTAGTATTTAGGAGTTGGGTAAGATTGCGATAAAGTTTAGTATTTAGGGATTGAGGTTGGGATATGTTTAATATTTAAGATTTGTAGGTGAAGTTATAAACCTATACTACTTAGGTGATATGGAATATAACACTCGTGCATATGTATGTGGTAAAATATACGTGAATCTCTATAATATTATTTGAGAAGTCACTTTCTTAGGTGTCGCGCTCACGTTAACTCTCACGTTGGTTGATTACTATGATACCCCTAATGAATTAAAAATATATTAAATATTATTATTTCCTTTTTAAAATCTTCCAAATAACGATATAAAA